TGTGTGTGTGTGTGTGTGTGTGTGTGTGTGTGTGTGTTCTCAGAGCTGCCACAGTCGGACCTCATCAGCGTGGCGGACGCCACCTGGCTGGCCCTCAACGTGGTGTCGGGCGGCGGCAACGCCTCCAGCTCGCAGCCCATCGGCGTCACCAAGATCGCCAAGTCCGTCATCGCGCCGCTGGCCGACCACAACATCTCCGTCTTCATGCTGTCCACGTACCAGACGGACTTCATCCTGGTGAGTGAGGGGGAGGAGCTTCTGATGATCGGACAGAAATAAGCTTAAAATCTTCTGTATTTTACTAAATGATTGTTTAAATATTCATAAAAGCTGCAGACAGAACCTAAGATGTTTCTCCTGCACTGAGCGGATCCTTCAGGACTTACAGGACCAGAATCAGGACTGAAGAGAACCTGGACCAACAGATCAGCTGATTTAAATGCAAAACATTCACCTGGTGTTCTGACAACAGAGGAGATAAACATTTTATCACCTGGAGGCGAAAGACCTGTGTTTGTTTTTGTTAGCAAAATATCCCAGCTAACAATGGATGGACTGTCAGAAAACAACTACTCCAATAAATCTCTTAATGTTAGCTGAAACACTGCAGCATGCAACACAACAAGTATTATCATTCAATCATAAATATCAAATCTTTTTTATATCAAATTAGGTATAATTTCTTCCCTGTGTGTGAGGGACCTCTTTGGTGGGTCAGATGTGGCCCACGGGCCGCCACTTTAATAGTCCTGATCTGTAGGATTAACTAATTTAAAGATGGCTGCTGCAGCTAGTTTCACAGATGCTGAGCTAAAGTGGGAGGAGCTTAGATTAATTCTCCACATAAAAAGAGCATAATGTAATGATAAAACTGGGCGACGTGCGTTCCTCCTCATACTGCCTGTGGTTCCTCAGCGCGGCGTCTCGTTTGTTTTTGTTGTTTGCAGCTCTGTCCGGAGGCAGGACTGGAGGATCTTATCCACCTCGCCTCTCGGTCCTGCTGAGGTTTTATTTCACAGGAAATCCTTTTATTCTCAGCCTCTCGGGCAACAGGGAGGCTTTTATTGCCTTGCTTTTCTGGAAAAACAAGATCTGATGACCAGCACAGGCTTTTTCTTTTTTTCTTTTCTTTTTTCTTCTCTCTCTCTCTCTCGTCTAAATAAAAAAAAAAAAGAAGAAGAAGCTGTGTCCGTGTTGATAATCTGTTACGTAAAGAGGATCAGCAGCTCGGCCTTTAACAGACTCRGGTTTTGTTTCCCGTCTCGACGCCGGCTGTTGTTGTTCACCAGAGAGACCAACAAAAAGAAAACATTTCTCCTCCGTCACACCAGCTGTACAAAACACACCTGTCAGCAAAATATACCACATATAATGAGTTCAGCTGTTTCAATGAGCGATCATGTTTCTGACTCAAAGGAGAAAACCTGAACTTTAGTTTCCTCTGGATGGTTTTAGTTTTTATTGTGTGAAACTAAAGCTTTAAAGCATGGTGTTTGCGTCAGAACTAACATAAAAACATATTTTCTTTAAAAAAAAAAAAAGACACGGTCCTGTGTCCTGCGCCTCCTCTTCCAGCTCAGCTCCTCTTGTCGCCCTCAGGTCCGGGARCGCGACCTGCCCATGGTCATGCACACTCTGTCTTCCGAGTTCACGCTGCTTCGAGTCGTCAACGGAGAAACGGTCGCCGCTCACGAGCTGGGAGTTTCCAACGGGTTCATAAAACCRAAACTGGGTGGGTCCCTTTCATGAGATGACGTTAGAGTGACCGGTTGAGTGTGGATGTTTTAAAGTCTGTAAGTTTATTACAGAATCTCTCCTGGTCTTGTCCTCTCCAGTGCCCCGGCCCATCATCCACCCTTTGTCCAGCCCCAGCAACATGTTCTGTGTGACCAGCTTGGACCCAGACACACTGCCCTCTGTGGCCACTCTGCTCATGGACGTCATGTTTTACTCCGGGGGGTGAGTTCCTCTGCCGCCCGCTGGCACAATTTAATTTAAACACTGCTTTGTATMGTTTCAACAAGCACTTAGCRTAGATGCTAATTTAACACTGACAGGAAAGCTAACGTGATTAGCATCATGYTTGCAGGCTCTTTACARTGCAGCCGACCTCATCCATGAGTTTTAATGAATTAAAAAAGAAAATAAATAGATACAGGTTAAATTTACAGATACTGAGCTATCTGCCTCCTCAAACTGACTGTAGTTATAGGATTAGTTTAAAACGTCAAAAATACCAACAGTTTATTTTATAATCTGATAAAAAAAATACAATTAATTCAATTTAGTCAGAGTTGTAAAGTAACTAAGTACAAATACTTTGTTACTGTACTTAAGTAGAAATTTTGTGTATCTGTACTTGAGTAATTATTTTTCAGCCTACTTTTTACTTCTACTTACATTTTTTAAAAAAGGTAAGATATAGAAAGTCATTTCTCCTATATCATTTTGGCTATTTGTTGTTTTATATTTTTCTTTTTATTGTATATAAAATTATTTGTTTTGTTTAAATGAAATGAATAACGAATTGAAAATAATAATAATATCCTGATAAACTGTGCCTCCTGGATAGAATGAACTTACAGGGTTGCCAGATTGGACTGACAGTTTCCAGCCCAAACAAAAAAAACTCTCAAATCTCACCTCCATTGAGATTTATGTCATATATGTATATGTATATATGTCTGTGTGTATAAATACATATATATGTATACTTTTACTTTTAATACTTAAGTCAGAAATTTACTTTTGATATTTAAGTTAAAAAAATCAGATACTTGTACTTTTACTCAGGTAATATTCTTAGAGGAGACTTTAACTTTTATCAAAGTATGACTTTAAGGTACTTTATACAGGACTGAATTCAGTTTATCTTAGTAATTTACAATAAAGTTAGGTCAGGACACTGTTTAAGGTGTTGTGGGTTCTGGTCCAGGTCCAAAGAGGCGGGAGCGTCGGGCGAGGACTCGACTCACATCCGGTTCTTCTCGTTCTCTCTGATCGAAGGCTACATCTCTCTGGTGATGGACGAGCAGACGGCTCAGAGGTGAGGCAGAAAACAAACAGAACGCTTCTGTTTCAGTCCGGCGGGTCAGGAGGGTTCTGTTGGGGTGGGGTAAGCTCCTGATTGGTATTTGAGGGGGTGATTAGCTTGTTGCTATGCGACGAGGAAGCACTCGGGCGAACGCCGTGTTCTGGACTCTCTGACTCATCGGTTCTGCTCCCTCATTAAACAGAACCCGATCAGAACCGGACCGTGCTCCGGTGGGCTGCAGACACGACGAGGTCCAATAAAAACAATCAAGGACCTTTTTTTTTGTTTTACATAAGACTGAATATGTTGTCTTAAAGGGAGAGTTCAACTARTTTATTCTACTTTATTCTTGAACAGAACCGACCCGCTGCAGCTCATCTGGGTTTTATTAAACGTGTTGGATTTTCTTCTACTTACTCCTGTTTCTCTTAAAATAAAAATAGTTTTATTTTGACTGGTTTAGGTAGAAAACAGAATAAAATGTGTAGACTTTATAAAAAGTGCTTTTATTTTGAAGGTTTCCAAACAACGTCCTTTTCACCAGYGCCTCCGGGGAGCTCTGGAAGATGGTTCGGATCGGGGGACAGCCTTTAGGATTTGGTGAGTATTTTAAAATACTCTGATGGTAAAACACACGAGTATTTCCTGGTAAAATAATTATTTAATTTAAACTCGTCTGTTTGAACTCGTTTTGTAGACGAGTGCGGCATCGTGGCTCARATATCAGAACCTCTGGCGACAGCTGACATTCCTGCGTATTACATCAGTACCTTCAAGTTCGACCACGCTCTGGTAAGAAAAACACAAAGAAAGTTTTATTTTACAGTAAACCTCTGTACCACTCGCTGGCCTCAGTACTGGTACTTTTTACTTTGTACTGCCTTATTTAGGAGCACCAGTTTCACTTCGTCTACCTGGCTCAGAGCGTGGAATCGCTGCCGTCTGATTGGCTGATTAACTTCCTGTCGACACAAATAACTAAACGTGAATATTTGTGACTCGTCACACTAAACTGAGGATGAAGTCAGATTTGGTCAGAATGACATGAAGCTACATTTAGATGTAGAAAGAATCAGAGGTATATAGTAACAAAGTACACTTACTTTTTTTGAGGATTTGCAATTTTACCAAGTATTTTTTTTATTGTTACAGTTGATACTTTTACTTCTTTACTTTAAATTTTAATACCTTACATTACTTTCCTGATTAAACATTTTTATGACTTATACTTAATTACTTTTCTCAAATGTGAGATTTATGTTTACCCAAGTCATTTTCTGTAAAAGTATTTTTACTTTTACTTATTTATTTTCTTTCGAAATACTTTATAGACCTCTACAAAAAGCTTTGCCAGCTTTTGTTTATCTTCATATATTTAATTTAAAACAAGTGGTAGATGATGATGACGATGATGATTCAAACATTTAATCAACACTTTGTATTTTTCTACCTTGAGAATCCTYAGTTTGATGTGACGACTCACGCATCCTGTACAGCTCAACTGAAAACATTAAAATAAAGAAGTTAGCTCTTACAGGCAGATGTTTTATGATCCTTTCAAAATAAAAGCTGCTCAGCGTTTACTTGTTTATATTAAACTCTGGTTCTAAGAACAGCGAGACAAGAACACTTCCAGGACATCTTAAAGTTTCCCTCAGTCAAACTGAGTTGTTTCACTGCTCCAACAAACCTGACTCTTCAAGTTCTGCAGAAGCCTGTTGATCACCTGTTTGTTCAGGAGCTGGAGCAGAGAAACCTAAATGATGCAGGGMTTCATGTGAACCACTTTAAAGATGTGAGGTGTTTTAGGCTGACGAGGTTCTGCTTGGTTAATAATCTGAACGCTCGTTAAAACATCTGAGCTCATCAGTCCGGTTCTGCTCCGGCAGGTTCCTGAAGAAAACATMCAAAGCGTGATCCGAGCTCTGCGGACGGAGAGCGCGGCGCCGTGAGCGGAGGATCGTCAGAGTGGTTCTGTTCAAAAAGTGCCAAGAGCATGTTGGTGGGTCAGCTCCGAGTGGTCCCGGCCTGCCGGCAGTTTCTCTCTTTAGTTTACCAAACTGAAAGTTTCTTTACCTCTGAAGCTGCTCCCCTCCCCTCCCCCTCCCCTCCGCACTGTAAACGTTACATAAATCCTCTGCAGGAAGGATGACGAATGTATTCTGAAATGAAAAGATGTCTATTTATCGAACTCTCCACAGGTCCTTCTCTCCTCAGTGCCAAGATGTTCGAATGCCTGATGCCTTCTGTCTGATTGTTTTCCACGTGTGCAATTGAAGGAGACGGTTCTGTTTTTAACTCCAACACGTCTGTAGCCCCGCCTTTAAATGAAGTACAACTGTCAACACTTTGTGTTCACGCTGCGAGCAGCACATCTGAGTTGTAGACCTCTACAGCGCATTATCCCAGCAGGAGGTGCTACGGCTAGCTGCTGCTGCCAGTATTTAGGCTAAGTCTAAAAAGGCTAATCAAATAATGCAATAAAGTGGACAGCTGCTGTTTTAAAATCTGATTTCATATCAGTTTAACTTTATATGGTCGATTACAAACAAATCCATGACCGTGCAGCTAGCTGTAGCACTTCCTATAGGGATATTTGAGTATAAAATTATCTGAAACTTTGATTTGAGTCGTTTTAAAACGACTAAGGTCTATCTACAGCAGGTAAGATGCTGTTTAGAGCAGCTTTAACTATAGTCCTCGTAATTTAAAATTAAGATCAAGCTCCTAAAAACTGATTCCTACATTTGAAACCATATTCACTTTCAAAATATGCAGATTTTTATATGTTTTTGTGTCATCTATAATAAATAACTGCTCACTACCAGAAGCTTTACTGCCGTTTGATGCAGTCGGTTCCAACTATTAGAGGGTTGGAGCTAAAATCATCTATAAATGAAGTATTTTTAAAAAACAGGACTATCTAACCACTTGCTGGATTTAGTTAAAAACGGATGAGTTTCTGTGTTCATTTATCGATGGATGAAATGTTACAAAAACATAGAAAAACTGCATCTTCTTCCAGCTCTGATGTCTAAAGTTGATTCATTTGTCGCTCGCAGCGTGAACTTTAAGTCCAGACGGTGAAAACGCTCCAYTCTGCAGTTGTAAAATCACTGAGCCACTTTTTGACGACGTGCTAAACACAAATAAGCTACGGTTCACGCAGGGACAGGACGAGTCTCCCGCCGGTCCCTGGTGTCCCTTTAGGTCCTGAAGCTGCCCCTGTCCGGCTCCAGACTGCACTTTAATGCAGGTCTTCCCCCACCCCCACTGACCTGCTGTACTGATGTGAAAACAGAGAGGACACCTGAGGTTTTGATTTCTCTCCACCAAGCCCCGCCCCCTCCCGCAGCCTGATGAGTTTTTATCAGTGTTAAAACCAGGAAGGCAACCAGTTTGACTCCATTTCAAATGAAATTTGTTCATGACTTCATTTGAAGCTTCTTGTGTGGAAACAAAATAAACTTTTTTTCTTTTTTAATTCTGTGTTCAGTTTTTACTCACCGAGCTGATCCTCGTTACTCCTGTTTGGTTTAAAGATCGACTGTAAAAACTTTACATTTCAGAAGTTTTATTTATATGTTTGAGTTTTAAAAAAAATGTCTAACTCCAAACAAATCCTCAGAAAGACAAAGCAGTTCTGGTTTTTGTTCTGGTTGAACAAACATCTGGTGTTTTTATCCTCAAACCAGCAGCTCACAGGAGGGACTTCACCAGCACCACCATGTGGTCGACGCCACACGCTGCATCCACCACTTGGCCCGGCACCGTCACCTGACAAACAGAAAATCATTCACTAAGTAAAAAAAATAAACCTTTTTTTTTACTTTTTTTTTCCCTCAGCAGCAGATCCATCCATGGAGAGGAGGGAATATTTATTTTCAGACTCGCAGCTCGAGCCTGTTTAAATGCTAATGTAAGTCTGTGCGGCTAAATTGAAAACCTCTCCGGGGGAAACAGGAGCGCAGATTTCTATCAGGTCCTGAGCCCAAACAGAAAATGGACCGCCGGGTTCTGTTTCAGATCGGCRTTTACCGAGACAGAACCACGCTAAAGCACCGAAATAATAAAAACTTTAGTTCTGAGGAGAACTCTGCGTTTTTCTTACCCGCCACGGGAAGTACTGATTGTCATTCTTCCCGATGCCCAAACAGCCTCTGGTGTTCTTCCCCCAAACGAAGAGTTCACCTTGATCTGAGAGGGAAAAACAGACAGGAAGCTGAAAATCACAAGAGAATTTCACTCAAAGTAAATATTTTATGTTTGTCTTCCTGCTGCTGAAGAGCAAAAAAATCATCTAAATCAACAAATTTATGTTGTTAAATATAATAAATATTAAATAGATCAGGTGTACAGGAGACTCCCAATTGAAAAACATTGAAACACTATTAGAAAATATTCTAAAAATAACACGTTGACATGTTTGATTTGCCCTGGATAAAATAAAATGTGAATTTTCAGGGGGCGGAGCCAAGACAAGACGTGTCTTTAAATTCTGGTTTTAGACACAGCCTGGATCATAAAAGAACAGCTTGTCTGACAGCTGCTTTATAAATAAAGTTTTCTTTGTATCAAGGTCTTACCCGTCACCGCAGCAAAGTGGCTGAGGCCACACCTGATTTTAGCCACGGGCACCGAGGGGTTAAACTCGGAGCGTCCGAACAGCGTGGGGGGAATCCTCTCCGGGGTGGAGGACTCCGACAGGTTCGGGCCTTTTCCCAGAATGCCGTAGCCCCAAACGAACACCTCGCCTTGGTCTGGACAAACGACGTTCACATCGTTAGCGTTTCGACCTCGTCAGGAAATAATCTGTGTTTTTATAAACTCACCGTTGAGAACAGCCACCTGCGTGCCGCCGCACGCCGCCTGGACCACCTTCCCACAACCGCTCAGAGGAAGATGACGAGGAGTGTTGATCTGAACAAAAACAGAAAACATAAGGACGCATTTCACCGCCGCCTTCAAAGTTTTAACTAAGTTGAGAACTGAAGGTGTTCAGGCTGCAGATTAATAATCTGCATCAACACAAAGACTTTAAATTCATGAGATATTTTCCTTTTTGTTTCTGAAATAAGGGTGTCCTGAGACTTTTGACTCACCCTGTAGCCACAACAAATCTTGACCCTCAAAAGTTTTGTGCTTTAGTTTTAGTGGGCGGTACCAATGAAAACCCTCACCTGTGTGGACCCCCACCCCCTCACCTGTGTGGACTCTGTGACCGAGGCCAGCTGTCGGTACTCAGAGTTCCCCCAGCCAAACAGCTGTCCGTCTCTGGACACAGCCAGGCTGCAGTCTCCATACGAGCTGACCTGCTGCACCTCCACGCCCACCAGATCTCCTGCAACCTCCACGGGCTGGGAGCTGACGTTGTGGTGCCCCAAACCTGAAACATCCCATAATACCACCATCAAACTGACCTTAAGAAGCACAGAGGTGGCTTTAATAATTCAGAACGAATGTTTTCTGTGGTTTAAAGCAAAGAAGGTTGAATCGGACCGACCCGTCTGTCCGTCGGCCCCCCACCCACAGGAGAACACTCTCCCCGTCTCTGTGAGGAACAGGCTGTGATCCTGACCGCACACCACCTGGGAAACAACAAAACAAGCTCACAAATCCCTGCATCGCTTCACCTGGACACAACCAGAACCGGTCTCACCTGGACCACCCGGCTGCTGAACCCATCTATCTTGTGGACGAGGTGGCTTCCGCTGAAAAAAAAACAAATAAACGTTTCTGTTCTGACCGAGCCACACAAGAACAAACATCTATTTAATTCACACCTGTAGACCTCCTCTTCAACTATGCTCCGCCCACACTGGCCGTACGCGTTGTTGCCCATACTGAAGACTGAAAAACAGATCACAGCAAAACATGTCAATAAAAACTAATTCTGTATCGTTTTTGAGCTGCTCATCACATGAGTTTAGCTTTTAGCTTCTGTTTTTGTTTATTCTAGCTTTAGCTGCTGCCTGCATGTTTCATCTTTTAGCCACTGCAGAAGGTGGAAACAGAAAACTACAGAGCCCCTTAGGGGACATGGTGGAAAAAAATTAAAATGGATCCTGAGAAAGAAAGTCGGGATCCTGAGAAAGAAAGTCGGGATCCTGGGAAAGAAAGTCGGGATCCTGAGAAAGAAAGTCGGGATCCTGAGAAAGAAAGTCTGAGAAAGAAATTCAGGAT